CCTCCCTGCCCCCACAGACCGTCCTGACCCTCAACGTGGAACCTGCCTTCCCTCCCTCCCTGTCGGGGCTGCCGGCGGAACCTTTCCACTGCCCGCACCACACCCACTACGTCTGCGACGCCGTGGGCCTCAGCCACAGCCAGCACACCCACTCCGGCTCCTGCGACGCGGCGGCGGGGACGCTGGAGGAGGTGGACGACGGGGATGAGGACCATGTGGACCTGGGCCTGTGGGGGTCGATGGCCGGCCTTTTGGTCGTCGCGCTCATCGTCTCATTCTTCTCCAACCTGGTGGTCACGTCCATCGATGGCATGAGTGATGCGTATGGGATGAGCAAGACCTTCGTGGGTGTCATTCTCTTGCCGCTGGTGGGAAATGCCACCGAGCACATGACCGCAGGTGAGGGAAAGCGGAGGGAGGGAGGGAAGGAGGGAGGGCAGGCTGGGTGGTTCGGCTGGCGGGACAGGACGTGTGTTTGCTGCACGATGTCACACGAAGTGCATCCACTTGTGTCTCAAAAACCTTTGGAAATGAGAACATCTGCTCAGAAGGAGCATTTTATAAGGGCTTTGGGGGCCAGGACTGACGCATTTTTGGGAAAAGAAAAATATCACGCCCCCCGACGCGCGCGGCATGCTCACGTCGTGATCTTCCCTGATGCCTTCTCCCTTCATGCGCCCCGGTCCACAGTCACGGTCGCGGCCAAGAACAGGATGGAGCTGGCGATGGGCATTGCGGTCGGTAGCTCGACCCAGATCGCCCTCTTGGTCATCCCGTCCCTCACGCTCGCGGGCTGGGCCTTGGGGCAGGACATGACGCTTGAATTCCCGCCCATTGAGGTAGGTACCCTCCTTGTGCATCCACATTTCGTACGAAAAAGACGAAGGCCCTGGAAAGCCCGATCCTTCCTCCTTGCCATGTCAACCTCTGACCGCTCTGCCCTTTTTTCCACCAGATAATCGCATTGATCATGAGCCTGATTGTCGTCCAGCCGGTCTTGCTCAACGCGCAATCCAATTGGTTGTTAGGGTCCTTGCTTATTACCGCCTACGGCTTCTGCGGTTTCGCCTTCTTCTTCGAGAAGCCACCGTTACCCGGCGAGTAAGATCACGCCGAATACTCTAGGAGAACGTCAAGGTGACATGTCGACAGGGTAGCAGTCAAAGAGTCTCCACAGGGTGTTTTGGGAATTTAAGAGGGAGAAAAAAGGAGAAAAAAAACGCACAGAAAAAGGCATGGTCCACGATAAGTAAGTTTGGTCGAGGTGAGCAATAAACGTCCCGCGCCTGAATCGTTGTGTAGGGATGTCGCGCTCCCTGAGCGCCCGTAGTCAAAGCAGAAATTGAAGTACATTCATTCGAAATGGGACGTCCGCAAGGTCCTGTCGTTGCTTTTTTAAAATTCGCTCGGCCCAACGGTGGACTTTCCTAATACTTTTCCCCCCTCCTCATCTATTCCTACCGTCGCTTGCAAAGTCACGAACGTGTGCCTTGCTGATTAATTTTGTTCTTCAATGTGTGCGTCCTTCATGTAAAGTGAAATGCAACTCCGCAGAGCAAAGTTCACGGCTACTCGTGCGCAGCCCAAAAGTATTGTTTCGGGTCAAGAAAAGTAGAATTGCTGTACCCTTTCCATGCAAAGCTCTACATATTATGTATTTGCTAGTCTTACATCCTACCTTCTACCGGTCCCTTCCATAGACGCGTTCCTGTCCTCCTTATCCCACCCTAGATTCCGTCCAAGGACTTCGTAAAGCCTGGCATTGAACGGACGATAGAACGCCCGGAGCTCCCTCTCTATCTCCTCGTCAAGCCCCCCATCCTCCTTCGCCGGTCCCTTGTATCCGGTGACGTGGACAGGATCGAGGTCTTCGCGGTTCCAATCGTACGGACAGAGCCCCAAAAAAGCGGCCGCGCGACCGAGGGTCATGACTGGATTTTCCTGCAACATGAATGGAAAGGAAGGAAGGCGCCGGGTAAAGATGATTACGTGGAGAGACACCTGTCGCCTGAAAACACGTGCGCCCGGACGAGGCCGTGGTGCCATGTCGAGGCCTGACCCCGCCATGTCGCTCCCCTTGCGTCCTATCCCATCTAAATCTACTCTCTCCCACGCACCTTCATTTCTTCTACTGTCACAACGTGCAAATTGTCCGCGGCGACGTGCTCTAGGTAATGGTTGATAAAAATGACGTACAGACCTCGAGAAACGATGCGTCCCGGATCGGACTGGTTGCAGCGAGAAAAGGCGTAAGCATCCAATCTTTCGCAGTGATCTTGATCCTCCCCTCGCAAATCTCGACTTATTCGCTTCTTTTGCTGCCGAGCTTCTTTGGCTGACTTTTTTTCTTCTTCCTTTTTGCCTTGAGGGTCATCTTCGGGCTTAATTTCAGGAATCTGCGCACAACAGTCCTGCGGGGTTTTCATTCATAAGGATGTGAACATAAAAAGTTATCTTCCTACGAGAGAGTACATTCCTCCTTTACGCCTCATACTTCCTTTCTCTTTCCGTCGCCCCTGTCATCGTTGTAAGCACGCACCTGCAATTCTTGGATGCTTTTTCGAACGACCTCCTTGAAGGTCCAACCCTTTGTACTGTAAAGAGCTGGGAAGGCAAGGGTACGATGAACAAGACGATCGAGAAACGTCCAGTGCGTGTTAACTCTTGGGTATAGATTCAGACGAAGCATGGGGTCAACACCCAGGTGAAGGTTGAAAATGGGAGATATTGTTGAAAGGTGGATTCCCA